GAGCAAATCTCCAAAAAGGAACTAAACAAAATGGAGTCAGGCAACCTAATAGATGTAGAGTTCAAAACAGTGGTTATAAGGATGCTCAATGAACTTAATGAGAACTTCAACAGCATAAAAAAGATCCAGTCAGAAACAAAGGATACACTAATTAAAACAAAGAACAGTTTATGGGGAATAAACATTAGAATGGATGAAGCCAAGAATCAAAGCAGCATTTTGGAATATAAGAAGCAAAAAACACCCAATCAGAACAGAAAAAAAAATTCAAAAAAATGAGGAGAGTGTAAGGAACAACTTTAAGAGTACCAACATTTTCATCATGCAGGTACCAGAAGAAGAGAGAGAGAGAAGGAAATTGAAAACCTATTTGAAAAAATAATGCCAGTAAACTTTCCTAATTTGGTGAAGGAAATAGACATACAAGTCCAGGAAGACATACAAGTCCAGGAAGAGAGTCCCAAACAAGATGAATCCAAAGAGGCTGACACCAAGACACATCATAAATAAAATGCCAAAGGTTAAGATAAAGAGAGAATCTTAAAAGCAGCAAAAGAAAAGCAGTTAGTTACCTACAGGAGAGCTCCCATAAGACTGTCAACTGATTTCTCAAAAGAAACTTTGCAGGCCACAAGGGGTTGGCAAGAAATTTTCAAAGTGATGAAAACCAAGGACCTACAACCAAGATTACTCTACCCAGCAAAGCTGTCACTTAGAATCAGACAGATAAAAAGCTTCCCAGACAAGAAAAGGCTAAAGGAGTTCATCACCACCAAATCAGTATTATATGAAATTTCAAAGGGTCTTCTTTAAGGAGATCAAAAATATAAACAATAAAATGACAATAAATACATATCTATCAACAATTGAATCTAAAAATACCCGAAATAAATGAACAAGAAGAATGGAAACAGAATCATAGTTACAGAGAACATTATGATGGCTGCCACATTGGAGGGGGGTCAGGGCATGGGTGAAAAAGGTGAGATTAAGAAGTACAAATTGGTAGTTACAGAATAGTCATGGGAATGTAAAGTACAACATAGGGAATAGAGTAGCCAAAGAACATATATGCATGACCCATGGCGTGGGCATTGCCTGAGGGAGTAAGGGATGTCCTGGGTAGAGGGGCCAAAGGGGGGAATATTGGGATAACTGTAACAGCATAAACAGTAAAATATAATTTAAAAGAAAGAAATGATGTAGGAAAAGTTGGATATCCATACGCAAAAAATGAACTTTGAGCCATACCTCACACCTTATTCAAAAATTAACTGCAAAGGATTCATGGACCTAAATATGAAGCCTATATTTCTCTCCTTCTAGGGGAAAACATATAAAAAAGCCTTTGTCATATTAGACAAAAAATATTTTAATAGGATTTGAAAAGCATGATTCATATAAGAACAAATTGATAAATTAGACATCAAAATTAAAAACTTCTATTTAAAAGACAATGCTAGAATCATGAAAAGACAAATTGGGAGAGATCTAAGATGGCGACATAATAGCAGGCAGCTCCAATCCTTGGTGCTCAGACACAGACTGGATCTAAAGTCAGAACATAGAGCAGAGTGTGAGTGAAAGCATCTGTGAGTGAGAGCGTATGTGGACAAGAGTGTGGGGAGTGCGTAGTAGTACACAGGAACCACCTGCCTGCAGGGTGCCTGCTGGCCTGGGCTTTCTCAGCAGACCACCACTGCTGCCCAGCCCAGCACTGCTGGCTGCACAGAGTTGGGAGGTGCTGTAGATTGGCTTAGGATCTGTGAGCTACTGGGATGGCAAGAAAAGGCCTAGGAGGTGTGGGCTTCAGAAACTGCACAACAGGAACAGGAAGGCCTGAGGCAGAAGACCTCTGGAGGGAGCAGGGACACCATGCCATTATCACCTTGTATTATAGTAGACCTGAGTGGATCTTCCCAATGCTATCAGGGAAAGATTCAGAGAGAAACTTTATCTAAAATTGTCAGAGGCCGTGTAAGGAGGAGGCCAGAATTGACTGTGAGAGACTGTGATTTGCAGGGAGAGGGCGCACATGGAGAACAGGACCCCAGGGACCCTCACTACAGTGTGGGGGTCATAGAGAACCTCTTTTAAAAGGGGAGTTGAGAGGTTCCCAAGGCTTGGCAGGGACCTGGGCCCACAGACCAGTGCATGTGGGTAGGATGCAGCATCGTTGCTAACCAAAATTCAGAGGCAGAGAAAATATTGTTAGCATTCCTTCTCCCTTTATACTTTCAAAATAACTTCTCTTTCCTCTAGACGTCTTTTAAGCTCTTCTTTCTTTCCTTTTGCCCCCTTATTCCCATTCCACCTATATATACTTCTTAGCTCATTGGTTATTATTTCTATGGTGCAGCTTTTACTGCAATTAGGTCCATATTAGTTTATACATGTATACGTGTGTGTGTGTGTGTGTGTGTGTGTGTGTGTATGTGTATATGTGTATATATATATATATGTTGTTGTGGTCGTGGTTATCTATTTTTTATCTCACTAGATATATACAAATATATATTTTTCTTTAAATTTTCATTTTAACCTAATACTACACACTTTTCCTCTCTTACTCCATTCCACTTCCCTCCTCCCATTTTTATTTACAAAATAAATTTTATTTTTTTCCTGCTTTGCTTTGTCTCTATTCCCTACTCTTATTATTGTCCCTCCCTCTACCCTCAAAAATTTTTTTTTGTTTCATTAGTCATCTCGTATTCATTTTCCTCTCTTATAATAGTCTTCATCTCTTAACACCTTTATTAATATTGGTGCATTGGCTGTTGATAATGTAATTATGGGTGGGGGTTATCATTGAGGGAGTGGGTCTGTTTCCTGGGCTGTTTGATTCTTGTTCAGGTAGCCCCTGTACAATAGTATACATGATGTGAAGGGCAGAGTGACTCTCAGACAGTCAGCCAGAGGGATGATCCCATCAAAGAACAACCCAGCAACAATCAAAGCTCTATTGCAACCAGAGAGCCCACATAAAAGACAAAGGGCAGTTTGAGAGCATCAAGCCCAGGTGATTAAGGAGACTGCACCACTGAGTTTCCCACAAGTCTCCTACCACAGAAGATCACACCACAAAGACAGGGAGTCAAAACAGATAAATCTGCCCTGGCTGGTGTGGCTCAGTAGATCTCTGCCCAGACTGAAAACCAAAGGGTTGCTGGTTTGATTCCCAGTCTAGGGCACATGCCTGGGTTCAGGCCAGGTCCCCAGTAGGGGAGTCGTGTGAGGGGCAACCACACATTGATGTTTCTCTCCCTCTGTTTTTCCCTCCCTTCCCCTCTCCCTAAAAATAAATAAATAAAACCTTAAAAAAAAAAAACCTTCACAACAGTATGGATGGAACTGGAGAGTATTATACTAAGTGAAAAAGCCAGGTAGTGAAAGACAGATACCATATGATCTCACTTATGAGTGGAACCTAATCAACAAAACAAACAAAAGAGCAACATAGAACCAGAGATGTGGAAATAAAGAACAAATTGACAGTGACTGGAGGGGAGGAGGGAGAGGGATAACAGGGGAAAGTAGGGGAAGGGTTAAATAAAGGAACATGTATAAAGGACCCAAGGACAGGATAACAGGGTGGGAATTGACTGTGGGAACAGGGGGTGGGGGTATGGAGAGGGCAGGGGAGAGCAATGGGAGGGATTGGGACAACTGTAATTGAACAGCAATTTAAAAAAAGACAAATTGTAAACTGTAAGAAATTATCTTCAAATTGTATATCTAATGAAGGACTTCCATCCAAAATATATAAATATCTCTAAAAACTCAATGATAAGGTAACTTAAAAAATGGACAAAATATTTGAGCAGATATTTTACCAAAGAAGATATATGCATGGCAAATAAGAACATGAAAAATGCTTAACATTATTAATCATTAGGGAAAATACAAATGAAAACCACAGTGAGATACCATTGCCCAGCTGTGAGAATGGGTAAAAGTAAAATGATTGGCCACACCAAGTATTTGCAAGAATGTGGAGGAACTAGAACACTCATGCATTACTAGCTACTAGTACAGTCATTCTGGAAAAGAGTTTAGTAGTTTCTTTAAAAGTTTCACATCACCCGTCATATGATCCAACCATTCTACTCCTAGATAATTTCCCCCCAAAAATGAAAGCAAGTGTCCATACAAAGCCTTGTACACAAGTGTTCATATAATAGCCCAAAGCTTGAAACAATTCAAATGTCCAAATATAGGTGATTAAATGTTGGTATTTAATATACAATATAATACTACTGAGCAATAAAAATGAATTCTTTATTGATTCATGCTACATGAGTGAATCTTAAAATAATTATATGAGTGAAGGAAGCTAGCAAAAAAGAATATGTACTTTATGATCCCATTGATATAAAATGCTAGAAAAGTAAACTAATGTATAGTGACAGAAAGCAGATGAGTAGTTACTTGGGATGGAGGGGTTTTGCGGTGGGGGAGAACAGATTTTTAATGCAGCATGAGGAAACTTTTGGGGATGATGGATATGTTTATTGTCTTGATTGCAATGATGATTTCACAGGTGTGAATGTCAAAACTATTCCAATGGTACATTTCCACGCATTCCACTGATTGTATGTAAATTATACCTCACAAAGCTGTTTAAAAATGGAATAATGTAAGAACTGCATGTTCTTTGGATTCTTCTTTTCCTGATACACTTGGTTTTGTGTTAGAAATGTTGCAGTGTGTCCCTGACTGGTGTAGCTCAGTTGGTTGGGCGTCATCCCACAAAACAAAAGGTGGCCAGATCTTTCTCAGTCAGGGCACATTTCTGGGTTTTGGGCCTGTTCCCCGGTTGGGGTGCATGCAAGAGGCAACCAATTGATGTTTCTCTCTCACACAAATGTTTCTCTCTCCTCTTTTTCTTCTCCCTTCTCCTCTTGCTGAAATAAATAAATAAAACCTTTTAAAAAATAAATGTTCGCAGTGTGAACTCATATACAATCTCATAGTGTATTCACATCTCATTTTGGCAGAATGAAGATCTCACTCTTTTAATTAAGGAAATGGAACAAGGACACAGTGATCTGGAGAAAATGCAAAACCTTTATTCTGAGTCCTTGATCATGGACTGGTGGTACAACGGTGAAAAGGAAGGAGACAAGTAAGCATGCCAGACTGCCTGACCCCTTCACTGCGGTCTTCTCCGATGCTCTGCGCCCTCTCCTTGACACTTTTTCCTTCTGCAATGCTTTGTGATATTTCTTTGAGAAAGAATCACACAGTATGATTACTTTAGGATTTTTAAGCAAAGAAGATTTATAATCTAATAATTTAATGACAACTGGCTTAAGGAGGCCACATGTTCACCTTGATAAGTAAGCTCTGAATTCCTTCCATGGCACCTAAAAGTAGAGCTGGCTTTATCTGAACCTGATGTAAACATGCCGCCAGCCCCGGCAGTGACAGAGCAGAGGAGGTGTATGTGCGGTGAAGGAGACCTGACTCAGGGCCCAGGAGGTCCAAGGTCTGGATTTCAGTCTGGACGTTGGCAAATTCATACCTTCTCTCCAGTCCTATTCATTGCTGTGGGTCTCAGTTTCCTCACCTTTGAAATGATAGATAATTTCTTGATTCTTTTCTTGCTGTGTATTCTGATACTTTTCTAGTTAGTAGTTTTTAAACAAAAAATCAAAACCACCCCAACATTCAGAAAATGTCAAATCTTACTAAAATGATTTAGCATTGTACAGATATTGAAGTATCACAGCTTCATATTAATACTTTATCAGGAGGATTTTTTTATTTAAAAGTGTAATAGCAAAATCCTCTATCAAAATTCACTATCATCCTATTAGCAAAATAAGCATTAACATGGGCTGGGAGCAGGGTATGAGCACAGAATCAGTACAGCAAGATAAATGCTATTCCGGGGATCTTTAAAAAAGAGATTTTTATCACATTATTTTTTAAATACTTGTTTGGGAAAGCTCAGGTACATCTTCTAAATTGAGAAAATTTGAACAATTAAATTAAGAATCAAGTAAATTGGCAGCACTTCAGTGTAAATCACCTTCTCTGTGCTTTCAGCCATTACCTCAACTGTCCTTGTCCCCTAGTTTAATTACACTGAAATCTCTGGAAGTTGGCTTGGTCATTTAACTGTACTTGCAATTGATTAAGTAGTGAATGCATTCTAGTTTTATTACATTTCTTGTTTTAGGGGCTGAAAGAGGCAGGTTTCAGAGTCAAGTGGACAAGTGTTTTATTCCAGGCTTCCTACCACTGCATGTTACTTAACCTCGCTGAGTCTGTTTCCTCATCTGTAACATGGGAATAATGGTAGTCATAGAATTGTTGGATGGATTAAATGAGAGAATGCCTGGCACATAATAAGATCTCTGAATTAATATAAAGGAAAGAGTAAACACCATACCTCATTCTATAGATATCATGCTTCTATACTTCTTGTAACATAACAATATTAGGAAAAGCTATTCACCAATTTAGCTCCAGTTGAAAACAAATTGCCTTGTTCAAGTTTTATACCAGCTGAAAAAATATTCCCTAAATGTCCTCTACCTTCCTTCTTTTTTCAAATATTTATTGAGTATAACTCAGGAGCCGGGAAAACTGGGAAGCCCAAGTAAATGTAAGCCTGGTCCCTTCTGTCACATCACACATGGTGTGGTGGGGGACACACAAAGGACTATGGACATTGGGTGGGTGCTCTATGGAAGTAGGCACTGGCATGCGGAGGGTGGGAGTGAAGGAGGGAGGTGTTACCTATTCATTGTTGGAGAGGAGACTGTTCTGGAAACTTTCTGTGTCCACTGGGTTTAGAGCTTCAGAGAAGGTATGTCTGGGAAAATAGTGGGGAATTTCTGAGGTCTCTCCTGGTGCCAGAGCTTCACCAGAATGTTTTTCTGTGATCTAGTGCTGGCACAGGGGCTCCAAGGCAGGAGTTTCCCTCTTATGGTTTTATAAGAGTTGGTTGTCCAACCCTTTGGTTGGATAAATGGGTTTCTGTGACATGTTCTGGTTTATAACCAGATCTTCTCATATTAATCCTCACATCAGCCCCATGTGGCCAAAGCACAGCTAAAGTTTTCCAGTTGATTGATGAAGAAAATGACAAAGTTTAGAAGAGTATTGAGCAACTTCACTGACTCACACAGCCAGGAAAGACTAGAGCTGTGATGGGAGCCTTATCTAATGACTCCAGATCTGTGTCCTTGTCTACTCTCCTGCGTGGGGCAGGAATCAAGGGCTATCCTTATGCATTACCTAAATGAGGGGGTGGCTCACTTCTTTAAGTTTGCAGCTTTCAATATGACTATTGATCCAGCCCTGCCTTCATAATGGAAATTTTATGTTTTCCCCTTTCTTTTTCTTTTTGTTCTTTCTTTTTTTGTCTACTTTTTTTTATCTAACTCAAAACAGGCATCAAAAAGAAATCTGTTCCTTGGTTTCACCTCCAGAAAAATGTGCAGATCCTCACTCTGATGTTGAAGCATCACAGGTGTCTTCCCTAAAAATGTCAAAAGTACCAGGGGACCTTTCCAATGAAAAGATTCAGAAAAAGAAAGTTCTCCATGCAGGTATCAGTGAGCAAAATGGTTTGAATCTCATTGCTGGTTTTCCTTCAGTGCAAGAAAGAAGAATATATCTAAACTCATGCAATGTTATAAAAGAAGCTTAAAACTGTGTTTTTTCCATTAAAATTTTTATTGAGATTATTGTACATTCACATGCCATTGGAAAAAATAATACAGAGAAATCCTGTATGCCAACCCTTCACCCAGTTCCCCCAATGGTGACATTTTCAAAATGTAATAGTACAATATTGTAACCAGGATATTGACACTGATACAATCCATGATTTTACTCAGTGTGCTCAGTTTTACTTGTGTTTATTTGTGTGCATGTGTGTGTAGTTCTGCATGATTTTACCAGGTGAGTTGTTTTGTGTTTTCACCACCACTGTCAAGATACAGAATAGTTCCATCCCCACAAGGATGCTTGGTGTTGCTCTTGTGCAACCACACCTACTTTTCCTAAGCCTGGGAACCCACTAAATTCTCCATTTCTAAAAAGTTGTCATTTCAAAAATGTTATATAAATGGAGTCATGTAGTACATAACCTTTAGGAATTGGCTTTTTTCACTTTCTATTTTCCTGGAGATTCATCATAGTTTTTGTATCAATACTTCATTCCTTTTCATTGTTGTGTAGTGTTTCAAGATATGGATATATCAGCGTTTATTTAAACTTTCATCTGTTGAAAGGTATTTGGGTTGTTTTCCATTTGGGGATATTACAAATAAAGCAGTTATAAACATTCATGTACAAGGCTTATATGAACGTAAGTTTCATTTCTTTGAGGTAAATTTCCAGGAGTGCAATTGCTGGGTCATATGGTAACTATTTCTCAGAGTGGATGTGCCATTTTCCATTATCACCAGCAATGTAGGAGTGATCCAGTTTCTCCATGTTCTCACCAGCAGTGGTGTTGTCACTTACCCATAGGTGTGTGATATCTTACAGTGGTTTTCACTTGCATTCCCCCAAAGGCTAATGAGGTTGAACATCTTTTCATGTGCTTGTTTGCAATCTTTAGATCCTCTTCAGTCTGTGCACATGCTTTGTCCATTTTCTACATAGATCAGTGGTCCATGCTCTTCTATTCCTGGAAAAAATTGGAGTAGTTCTTTTTTTAATATTTGATAAAATTATCATGGAGCCATTTAGGCCTTGAGATTTCTTTTCCAGTTTTTTTTTCATTAAGAATTCAACTTTTTAAAAGTGGTTTTAAAGCTATTAATATTGTCTATTTCATTTTAGTTGAGTTTTGGCAGCTAGTAGTTTTAGAGGAAGTGATTCTTTTTTCTAAGTTGTCAAATTATGAGTGCAAAGTTATTTATTGTACTCCTTTATTACCTTTTTAATAGCTGCAAGAGCTATAGTAATGTTCCCTATTTTATTCCTGACATTAGTGTTTGTCTGTCTTCTCTCTCTTTCTCTCCATCCCTCTCTCTCTCTCTCTTTTATCTTTTTCAATCTTGCTAGAGGTTTTGTCAGATTTATTGCCTCTACAACAAACAGCTTTTTGCCTCACTGATTTTCTCTAATGTTGACTCCATTCAGTTTCATTGATTTCTGTTCTTTATTGTTTCCTCCGTTCTGCCTCCTGTAGTTTCTTTAGCTTTTTGTTTTCTATTTTCTTGAGTTAGGATTCTATTATTGGCATCAGATCTTTCTTCATTTCCAATGTAAGCAGTTAGTGTGATCAGTTTCCCCCTTGTACTGTTTTAGTTGCATCTCACATATTTTGATTTGTTATGGTTTTGTTTTCATTTATTTCTAAGTATGTTTACTTCCTTCAAAGACTTCCTTTATGGATTATTGATAAATGTATTGTTTAAGTTCCAAGAGTTTAGAGATTTTCCCCTATTGTCATTGTCTTACTGATTTCTAGTTTGATTCCACTATGGTCAGAGAACATATTATATAGGATTTTAATTCTTTTAAATTAGTTGAGGTTTGTTTGAATAACTAATACATAGTCTATATTGATAAATGTTTCACAGGCACTGGGAAAATGTGTGTTCTGCTGTTGAGGGGAGTGTTTGTCAGTTAGATTCTGGTGGCTGGCTGTGTTGTTCAGATCTTCTCTGCACTTGCTGATTTTGTGCCTCAGTTGTTGAGAGGGGGGCTATGAGGTCTTCAAGTACATTTGTTGATTTATCTCTCCTTTCAGCTCTCTCAGTTTTAGCTTCATATATTTTAAGGCTGTATTGATTTGTTTGTATGCATTTAGGATCTATATATCTTCCTGGTGGATTGAGCCCTTGTTAAGTAAATTCTTTTTGCTATGAAGTCTACATTATCAAATATTAATATAGCCACTTTAGCTTTTTATTAATAGTTGCATGGCATAACTTTTCTTCCATCTTTTTTGTTGTTCAATTTACCTATGTTGTACTTGAAGTATAAATGTCTTATATGTTGCATATAGTTTGATTCTGTTCCTTTATCTGCTCTGCCAATGTCTTTTTATTAGTGTAATTAGACTATTAACATTTAAATTATTATGTTAGCACCTGGTATTGTTATTTTGTTATTTTCTGTTTGTTTTCATTGGCCTGATTTCTCTGTTTCTCTTCTCTTGCTTTCCTTAGGTTATTTGATTTTTTTAAAAAAAGTTACCACAAACTCCAATGGAGTTGTAAACCACAACTCCATTTTGGTTTACTAGTAGTGTGTGCATGTGTGTGGTATCTTTAAAAAATGTGTGACAATAAATCAGTTTAGTGAATTATGAGTCAAAGCCTCTCTACTAGATACTTTTCTGGCTATCAGTTTGATATGTAATTACCTACAATAAATTCCCATTTATTCTGTTGTAAGGTTTTTTAAAAATACATTTTATTGATTATACTATTACAGTTGTTCCAGTTTTTCCTTCTTTGGTCCCCTCCACCTGGGGACCCCTATTCCCTCCAGCAATCCCCCCTTAGTTCATGTCCATGGGTCATACATACAAGTGTTTTGGCTACTCCATTTCCTATACTGTTCTTAACATCCCCTTGTCTATTCTATACCTACCAATTTGTACTTCTTAATCCCTCCACCTTTTCCCCCATTCTCCCACTTCCCCCTTCCAAATGATAACACTCCAAATGATTTCCATATCTATGATTCTGTTTCTGTTCTGCTTGTTTGCTTTTTAGATTCAGTTGTTACTGTTGTGAAATTATTGCCATTTTAATGCTCATAGTTTTGATCTTCTTTTTTTCTTAAATAAGTCCCTTTAAGATTTCCTACAATAATGCCTTTATGACAAACTCCTTTAGCTTTATTTTGCCTGGGAAGCACTTTATCTGCCCTTCAATTCTAAATGTTATCTTTTCTGGATAGAGTGATCTAGGGTAGAGTACTTCTTTGCTTTTCATCACTTTCAATACTTCTTGCCAGTCCCTTCTAGTCTGCACAGTTTCTTTTGAGAAATCAGCTGACAGTCTTACAGGAACTCCTTTGTAGGTAACACTCTGCTTTTCTCCTGCTGCTTTTAAGATGCTCTCTTTATCTTTAACCTTTGGCATTTTAATTATGATATGTCTTGGTGTGGGCCTCTTTGGGCCCAACATGTTTGGGACTCTCTGCTTCCTGGACTTGTATGTCTATTTCCTTCACCAAATTAGGGAAGTTTTCTTTTTTATGTTTCCAAATAAGTTTTCAATTTCTTGCTCTTTTTCTTCTCTTTTCAGCACACCTATGATTTGAATGTTGATGTATTTGAATTGTTGAGAAGCCCAGAGGCTTCTTAACCTATACTTGTTTTGGGGGACTCTTTTTTCTTCTTGCTGTTTTGATTGAATGTCTTTTTTTTTTCTTCCTTATATTCCAAATTGTTGATTTGATTCTCAGTTTCATCTGCTCCACTGTTGACTCCCTGTAAATCATTCTTTATTTCACCTAGTGTCATGTTTATTTCAGTCTGGGTCTTTTTTATGCTCTTGAAGTACCCAATGAGTTCTTTGGGCATCCTAATAGCCAGTGTTTTGAACTTTGCATCTGATAGATTGCTTATCTCCATTTTGTTTAGTTCTTTTTCTGGAGTTTTGTTCTGTTCTTTCATTTGGGCCATATTTCTTTGTTCCCTCATTTTGGAAGCCTCCCTATGCTTATTTCTATGTATTAGACAGAGCTGCTTTGAATCCCTATCTTAATAGACTGGCCTATTGTAGAAAAGCTCACTGGTAAGTTGGATGGGGCAGAGCCTTAGGTAATCAGTAGGGCCGGGTAACCCGTGTGAGCCAGGTCGATGGAGTCTCAGATTTGTGTTGCTGATCTGTGGCCATGTGTAGGGGAGAGCTCAGAAAGGGATAATGGCCAATACCTGGCCTCTGGAGTTTTGTCCAGAGGGAAGCTGTCCCTGGCGCTTGCCCTGATGCCAGACACTTCAGTTTCTTGCTATATGCCACTGGTGCCCTTCCAGCTGCTGCCCTGGGGCTGGAGCCCAGAGGGAGTGAATCTGCATAATTCCTAAGTTCACTGTGGGCCCTTTAAGAGGAGATGCCTGAGAATCCTGCAGTTTCTTCTAGCACCCCAACCACCATGGATTTTTACAGCCAGAAGTTATGGGAACTTATTATCTTCCTAACACTGGTACCCTGGGCTGGGTGGTCTGGTGTGGTGCTGGGATCCCTCACTCCTGAGGTATCCCTCCCAATTTTTATCCACCACACGTGGATGTGGGACCACTCCTTATGTGTCTCTGCATCTCCGCGCATCTTCATGTCGCCACCCTTGCTATCTATCTGGATAAATGTGACTTAATTCTTTGGTTGTTGTACTTCCATACAGCTCAATTTTCTGATACTTCTGGGTTTTAGTTGTTTTGTTATTTAGTTGTAATTTTTTCTATGGCTGTGTTTGGAGGTGAGCCATGTTTACCTATGCCTCCATCTTGACTGGAAGTCCCTGGGCATAGCAGCTGCTCCCACTGGTGGCTGACCAGGAAAATATCCACCCCCCCCCCCCATTTTTTAAATTACTACAGTTTGCATTCAGGTATTAGTTTCAGGCATATAGCACAATGGATAGACATTCATTCATCTAGGTTACAAAGTGTTCTTTCCTATATTCAATTGTCCACCTAGCACTGTAGATAGTTATTACAATATTGTTAACTACATTCCTTATGCTTTACTTTACATCCTTATGCTGGTTTTTTAGCTACCATTTAGTATTTCTTAATCCCATCCCCTTATTTACTCTGCCTTCCCAACACCCCATCCTGCTGGGTTCCATCACTTTGTTCTCTGTATCTCCAAGTCTGTTTCAATTTTGTTTGTTCATTTATTTTGTTCTTTAGATTTCACATATAGGTGATATCATATGGTATTTATCTTTCTCTGTCTGGTTTATTTTACTTAAAATAATACTTTCTAGGTCCATCTGGGCTGTCACAAATGGTAAGATTTTATTCTTCTTCGTGGCTAAGTAACATTCCATTGTAATATGTATCACAACATTTTTATCCACTTGTCTATTGATGGGCACTTGTTTTTGAGTATATTTTTGTGTCACTTTTGTAATGATTTCTTTAAGTATGACAGATGAATGTGACTTATAAAAGTGTACTAGCATCAACATTATTTTAGCACTTTGTGTGGAGTGTGCAGATCTTACTTCAATTTAGATTTCTTTACCTTCTCCAGTTTTAAATCATTGTTTTGAGTATGAGGTGGTTTTATAACTTTAATTTAAATCATCAAGTATAGTTTATAAATCTCAAGAGGAAAGTCTATTGTATATATCATATTTTTCTCTTTTGTTCTTTCTTCCTTCCTGATTCTGCAAAATATCTTCTTTTTTAATTTCCTTTCTGTTTGAAGAACTTTCTGTATTCAGTCTGTAAAGGTAGATCTGATAGCCACAAATCCTTTTGCTTTTTCTTAGTCCAGAAAAATTTTTATTTTCTCTTCATTTCTGAAGGACAACTTGCCATATTCAGAATTTGCAGTTGATAGTTCTTTTCTTTCTGTAGTTAAGAAATAGTGTACCTCTTCCTCTGGCTTCTTACATTTTAATGAGAAAAATCTGCTGTCATTCAAACTAGTATTCCCAAATAGGTAATGCATCCTTTCTCTTTGGCTGCTTTCAAGATTTTTTCTTTGCTTCTAATTTTCAAATGTTTAATTATACTCAAACTTGGCATACAGTTCTTTGAGTTTATTCTTTTTGGGGTTTGCTCAGCTTCTTGAATCTGTATGGTATGTCTCTGTGGTATGAATCTGTATGGTATGTCTGCATGGTATGAATCTGTACAGTAATACATGAAAACTTCACCAAATTTGGGAAGTTTTCATCTATTATTTATTAATAGGGTCTCTCAGTTTTACTTTCTTTCTCACCACCCTTTGGGATTTGATGATATGAATGTTAGATATTTTGTTATTATCCTGCATACTTGAGGTTCTTATCTTTTTTAAAATGTATTTTCTCTCTGTTGTGTGATTTTCTTGGTTCTTGATATTCTGGGTGATTTTTTTAAATAGTATTCTAAACATTTAGTCAGGATATTATATTAAGGACTCTGGATTTTATTTAAATCTTTTCTTTTAATAAGTAAATGCTCTGGTCAAGGTTAGCACATAGACCTTGGCCTGTTTTTGTGGGCTGAGGTTCCAAGAGCAATTTAATTTTCACAGCCTTCATGGTATAACTTTTGTGCTTGGTTTTCTAATGTTACTGAGGCTGCTTCTGGTGCCTGCTATGGCTGCCTGAGTTTCCTCAGGTCATTCCTGGAGATTGTAGATGTCCCTCAGTGGAGAAGAGTTGTGGTGGCTTTTCCACCACTGTCTCTCAGGTGTCCCCATGGGCAGGGAAGGAGAGCCTTGCCCCAGAAGGAGCAAGAGGCTTTCTAGAATGGGCCACTTGCTATATCTTGGTCCCTCTTGAATGATCTGTCCGCCTCTCCTGGTGTCTCTGTGCAAGGGAAAAATATATTAAGCCCATGGGGACAGAGAGGCTTCCCATACTAGGCCACTTGTGTGACTGCATCCCTTTTACCATTCCTGCCTGCCCATTCCAATCAATCTGAGTTTTGCTAAAGATACTATTTGCTACTCATCCTAAACATTTTAATGTCTTTTGTCATTCCACCATTTTACTTAGATTTGGGGTCATTGCTAATGATAGGCAATCCTGTGATGAATTTTTATTCTGTTTTTATTTTAATATAGAGAATTGAGAATGTGGGGACAGATTACACAGAGCTTGGGGAGCAGTTAAGTGCTTGAATCTACTGTAATAGTTGCAGAGTTTGGGAGCAGTGCAGTTTTTATGTTTGGGGACTTTTGGAGCAAAATTTTATTTTCATTGTGGTGTACCTGTGTTTGTGGTTGTTTTTGTCTAGTAATTTTTTCCTAGTGTGGTTAGGGGCAGGAATTCAGCTCTCCTATGTGAATCATCTACCTCTTTTTCACAGACATCACTCCCAAGATTTATGCTTCTTAATTCTTTGTTACGGAGGCAACCAAAACACAACTCACCTCTTTGCTGCCTAGAAAAACAATAAATAGCACATAGCACACTCCTATCTCCATGCATGGAGACTACTGATATTATCTTTCTGTGCAAAAGATAGACAATTTTCAGATTACTAAATATTATTCACTTCATCTATTTTCTTATGGGAGATAGTTAGTCCCTTCTTGTTGAAAACAAGGACACATTTCATTCATGAATACTACATAAAGCCTTGGTACTTGTGCCTCTAAATTGTGAAGTAGAGAACATATTTATAATTAGTGTAGTTTCTATAATCACATATGAAAACTCACCAAAATATCTTGGTACAGGTTCATTCTCTAAAGCACACAGACTAAATGTCAGTATTTGATAAGTGCCCATTTGCTAGTTGAAGGGATCCAACAGAGCGTAGAAAATAATATAAAGGTATGGACAGCAACTGTAGTAGACAGGTTTCTAAATCAGCCTACCAGAGATGTCCCACTCTAAACCCTGCAACCTGTGATGATAATGAGTCATCACTCCCATGATTATGTTATGTTGACCTTGAGACAGGGTTATTGGGGATGTGGCATGTACTTACACAAGCCCTTAGAAGCAGGGGCTTTTTCCATCTGGTGGCAGAATGGAAAATCAGAGACAATGCAGGAGGGAAATTCAGTGTGCCATTGCTGGCTTGGAGATGGAGGGGCCACAGGTATAGAAATGTGGGTGCCATGCAGAGCTGATTGAGGCCTCTGGCTGACAGCCCACCAAGAAACAGGGACCTCAGTCCTACATCTGCAAAGAAATGGATTCCGCCAACAACCTGAATGACTCTGGAGGCAGATTTCTCTCCAAAAGTGTCAGATCCATTGCCATAGCATTCAGTTGGTGGCAGAATTGTGATCAAGGTTTAGGAAACTGAAGCTGCATTTTTTTAAAGATCCAAGGAAATAGTTGCATCTAATGAAGTATCTCTTTCCCTCCCAAATTCTTTAACCCCTCTCCTTGAAATACCCACAGAATCAACCAAAACCAGCCTGCTCAGAAGCCAGATGTCCACCCTCAAGAGCTCAGCTTGCAGCAAAAAGGATGACTTTTCCAATTCCAGCAACTGGGACACTCCACGTGACAGAGGCAAGCCCAAGAGGGTCTCTATGTCAGGAAGACCAGGCTGGCCTCCCTTTGCCCAGTGGGTCTGCTCCTGAAAGAGCCGAGTATAGATACTTAGGGGAAAACAAATAATTTTTAAGTAGATCCAGATTGCTTTCTCTTCACAGGACTCTCTATTAAGTTAGGTCTACCTGCTTTTGTGAACTGGGTTTTCTCAGGGCGAGGCTTGCACTTACTGTGTTGGGGTGTATAGTGGACACATGGCCTGTGTAACCATGGTGCTAGTGGTAATGCTCACTGCCTCTCCAAGGTTTGATTTGAACATTTAACACTTCACAGCTGGTTTGTTTTCTTCCCTTCATTCATGTGACACCATCCAGTGAGCCACTCTCTGGTCCATATTATCAGCCTTTTAGGGGCTAAACATGAGGAAAATGTGATGTTTCCACTCAGTTTTTATTACTGTTGATAAAATCATTATTCTTAAAATAGTGATTTTTAAAAGTTTAATTCTGTAGTACTTTTCCCTATATTTCAGATAGTTGATAAATTATAAATCCCAGCTACACACACACACACACACACACACACACACACAAAATCCCCTAGGTAGTAAGAAGCACCTGAGTGACAAATTCACACCTATTGTTACTCAGTCATAGCTTAATCAAATCTTGTTCTTCAGTGCTGATTTAGTTGATGTCTTTTCCTCAGTCTCAAAAACCCTTCATATATCTGAAGTCTGTTCCATGCACAGTTCTTACAGGGCTTATCATATGATGATTAGGATATGATAAATTAGGCATTTACTGAGCTAATTTTCACTTGCATTTATAACTCCAAGTTAATATAAGGGTATACATTAAAACCCCCAAGTGCTAATTTGAAAATTTGAACCTAAAACCAAATAGAACCTAATAGAGATTTGGTTTTCCTACATACAGATAAGAAAGTACCAAACAAGCTATCAAAAACTAAAATGTCGATTGAAGCTTCCCTGTATAATTTGGGGAGAGTCTAATGAGGGCAACATTGAACAATCAGTAGTTAATGGTATTCTTATTTAACATTTTAAAAATGTGTTCTCTGAAGAATGAGAGAATGAGTATGACTCAATTTTCCCTGGAGAGACATCTCAGGGGCCATGGGATGAGGAAGATGAAACAATGACAGCACAACATTTATCTATGCATTGGTCTGTAGTATCCACTACAGGTGACTCTTGTCTGAGAACCCTCTCTGATAGACCAGTATTCTCTGACATGTGGCTCATTTCTTAGCCCTCAGTCACAACTGAGCTCAGAGATATGTGTGATCCTCTTGTGTTTTGACATAAACCCAACATATGAGGATATTATACAACTGCCACTTCCCTTTCCACAGAAATGAGCATCCTGCTGACAAATGAGTATCCAGATGACAAATCATTAGAAAGATTGACTCCAGAAGGAAGCCAAGTTTATGACCAAAAGTGAGTGTTTTAATTTTACTGGGACAGTATTGTTATGCTTTTGTTTTTTGAAAGTTTTAAATGTCACAGTCAATGTTCCTAGTTCTTCAGGAATGCCTTCAGCAAACTGGCTCAAGACCCATGGCTTGGTTGCCAGGAAACTCACCATCATGGATGCCTTGTCAGTGACAGCTGTCCCTCACAGCGCCACCTACATTCCCATTCTGGACAAGTATGTTGTTTCCAAGGTCTTTGATGAGGTAAAATGATCTTCTGTATGTTTCTGCTTGATGTAGTTTTCATTTCCCACTTCAATGAAAAGTCATCTACTTCAGTGTCTTGTACACTTGTAACAAAGATGTATTTCACCCAAAAAGATTTATTTGTAAAGGCAGTAAAAAGGAACGAGAGCAGCTCTTAAGCATTATTGCTATTAAGCTACAAAGGGACTGGCCTTTGTTAGGATGGCAGTTCATGGTCCTCTGCTGCTGGGTGGCAGCAGAGCTGCAGCAGTGTTTGAAAAGCCTCTGGGCCAGAGTCCTGAGCCCTAGGTGTCCAACACCAAAGGACAGGGAGAACTTACGAGAGCTTATTTCCTTCCTTTGCTTGCCTTCTCTTTCTGAGTGCAGGGGCATCTTTGCTATTGTGAAAGTCTCCAAAGAAAAAGGAGAGAAAGGGGGAAGGAGGGAGGAAAGGAGGGGATAGAATGGAAAGTTAGCCAGAGCAAAAGAACCCTAAGAGAGTGACAAGTGACAGACATTCATGTCCCCGAAGGAGAAAAAGAACTTCCAGTAAGAGGACATGGCAGCGTTAAATATGGAAGAAGCCAAATAAGTACTGAAAAGTTTCCGTTGACTTGTGTGATAAGAAGGCCCTGCCCTTAGCAAAAATAACTCCTGTGGAGCAGCCAGATTGCACAGGGATGGGGAGCACAAAAGAAATGAGCATATAAGGACTGAACACCAGTGCTTCAAATATAATGGCAATTAATCATTTAAATAGAAATATATCAGGCTTTACAGTAACTAATTGAAAACAATATCCTTAAAAGACCTTTTCTCATCTGAAATATTTATAGAGGAATGGAAGAGGTTTGGGATTTACTTCCAAATAATCTGGATGGTAGGAGTAGCAGGGTAAGGGAGGAGTAGATAAAGCAAGATTGGCCATGAGTAGATCATTGTTATATTTGGATAATAAGACTATTGAGTGGGGCAGGGGGATCATCCTATTGTTCTGTCTTCCTTTTTTACATATTTGAAATTTTTCATAAGAAAATGTTGAAAAAAATTAAAGGCAGGTTTTAAAAAGAGCTTTATCTAATTGGTCTTGCAATGGCCGAGATATGATATATTTGGAAGAAGTGGATGAATTAGTGAGTTTTTTGTATTAATCACACTTAAGAAATTACACCCATGGACTTTAACACACATCCTGTGTGACACGACTGATGGCTCTGGCAGTTGTATGTGTGCTTACTTAGGCTGGGTTCCTGATGGCTCTGCCTTAAGGTGAGTGGTCCTGTCACTGGCTGTCATCTTGTGATGGGCAGATTCTATTTATACCTCCAGTGAACTCTAACCTGATTAGTCAGATACCAACTCATCACTTGAACTTATTTTTTTCTAGAAGTACTAATTTATTTATTCTAAGAAGTTTGGTGACAGCTTCTCATAGTCTGTGGATTAATTTTATTAATATTCTTGAGTTTTATTTGGAATAAAGTGTATTTAGTGAACTCTCCCTGGAAGGAGAATTTTCTTATGTTTATCATGTCTCCTTCTAGGCCTCTCAAGCCAAGATACATCAAAAGTAAATTTCCCAAAAATCAAACATGGTAGGGTAGGAAAACAAAAGAATAAAGTCAAAGGAAGAAACCATAAAGGAAATATTTATGGATTGAATAAATAAAAATAAAAATGTTATTTTGAATAAAAACATATAATAAAATTAAGGCAGATCTCAGAAAACAATATTGGTAACATATACACCACACAGTTGAGGAAATGGCAACTAAAATAAGTTCTAGTTAAATGTGACATGTGGAAAGTAGAGACTGATGATGGAAGAGGGTCCCCTAACACAGTTTCACACATCAGAGAGTTGTTCAGACATGGTCGTGAGAGTTCAGACATGAGCATTTGTTTAGTCCAAGTCCAGACTTGGGGAAAAGAAGGAGTTATGAAGGTGAGGAAGTAAGCAGGAGTGTCCTAGGCAGTGGGGGAGCTTGTAGGGAAGTCTAAGAATCGGAGAAGGTTTGTCATTCCAAAGAAAGTTTAGCGTGACTGGAAGAAGGCATTAAAACTGGGGAAGAAAGGGTTTTGATAAAGTTAAAGACTTTGAATGTCATCCTGAGGGGAACTGAAGGGTTTTTAACAGAGGAGAGAAAAGATCAAGTTTGGGCTTTGGCTGTTATCTGGAGAAGAGTTGGAAGGATCCGAGGCTGGGAAGATGAGGGGCAGTCAGGAGTCAAAGCCATGGTGGCTCTGGCCCAGATGGTAACACTGGGGATGGATCCAAGGCTATTTATAAAGTGGACAGGACCAAACCACATGGAGCCAAGACAGAAAAAGGACAACAGTCAAATTTAAGATGAAAGAATTGGGAAGAAAAGTAGTGAGGATCCTGGTCTTCAAGAGAACATTCTAGTTTTCTGACTCCAGAAAGCAGTGCCACAGAAAGAGGACCAGTCTTTTTCAAGTGCATTATACCATGGGACTTGTGCTTGGTCCCTTTCTGGCATTATAAATTCTCATCTCAAGCCTGTGGGTAGGTTGCACACTGTCCAGTGTGCTCACCATCCTTTATTATTTTTTTAAAGATTTTATTTATTTATTTTTAGACAGAGGAGAAGGGGGAGAGAAATAGGGAGAGAAACATTGATTGGTTGCCTCTCACATGCACCCCAGCTAGGAACTGGGCCACAACCCAGGCATGTGCACTGACTGGGAATTCCCAGCAACCTTTCTCTTTGCAGGATGGTGCTCAACTGAACAACGCTGGTCAGGGCCAATCCTTTATTATTGATAATAAGAACAAGAATAATGATTATGATGAAAATATACTGAAATAAATTCTAATTTCACCCTTAAAGCACACTTACATCTTTTAGTCCTTAATTTTTTTATCTGACTTTAAGAGACCCTTAGCTATAGATGGGAAAAATAGGAAAACAGTTATCTAAAAATATGTCCCAGTTACTGGGATGTATAGCTCTTTGAGACTTGAACCTAATATTTTATGAAAAGGTAGACAAAAACTAGAATGGAGCTGAAAAGAAAACATGAATCTAAATCCACTTCATTGAAAAATTTAATTGACTCTTGCTCTTATGTTCTGTGTATAGCCACATCCATCTGGGTAGAATTATAAAGCAATGTTTGGCACCCTGACTGAGTAGATGAGTTGGTTGGAGTGTCATCTCATACATCACACACACACACACACACAAAGATTGTATGTTCGGTTTGATCCCCAGTCAGGGCACATGCCTAGGTTGCAGGTTCAGTCCTGGTACAGGTGTATATATCTGATTGATGTCTGTCTGTCTATTGTCTGTCTATCTTTCTCTCTCTCTCTTCCTTCCTCTCTCTCTGAAATCAATGAATATATACTCAGGTGAGGATTTAAAAAATAATTTAAAAAGATAAAGCAGTATGCAGCTTCATCACCAACACTCTTCATTTCATTCATGACATAACGTATGGGCTCTTCCTTCTTTTAAAACACAATGCTATATTGATTTTTCATGTTTCCTGGAGCAGCATCAAATCTGTCACCTTGAAAATGAAGTATTGAACAGAGAGTTTGTCCTAGCAACTTGTTTTAGTTTTTAAAAAATATTTGTTTGTTTGTTTTTAGAGAGAGGGGAAGGGAGGGAGGAAGACAGGGAGAGAAATATCAATATGTGGTTGCCTCTCAGGTGCCCCCTACTGGGGACCTGGCCCGCAATCCAGGCATGTGCCCTGACTGGGAATCAAACTGGTAACTCTTTGGTTCTCAGGCCAGCACTCAATCCACTGAGCCACACCAGCCATGGCTGGTTTTAGTTTTTTCTTGAATCTAGACTTTGAAGCTCTTCATTGCCAATTGCTTTGAAAATAAAACCAAAATAATTTGGAAACATTAGTCTACATCTTTGGAAAGTCTAAACCTTCATCATCATCATGTCCTTAACAGCATCTCATCAAGGCTCCTTGCTTTGTCTGAATCTGGGTTCAGCAGACAGCTTTGTGGTCAGATGGCCTTGCTCATTTACTCCCAGCAGGCCATGGCAGGTCTCTAATGTGGTATGAAGGAGTCCTCACACTAGATTCTGAGTGAAGCATTTGATATCATCAAAGTATTTCATTTAAAACTTAGAGCAACCTAATGAGGTGGATATTCATCTCATCATTTAGCTGAAGAAAAACCTTAGGTGCAGATAGGTTAAAGGTGCTATTAAAGGCCTGACATTTTTCTGCTTTCTAATGTAGTAGCATTAAATGTAACTTTTCTATTGATAGAAAATTTATTCTAATTGAAAATTCAAAAGCACAGTTATTGCAATAGCTATATATATTCACCATGTAAAAAAGTTAGAAAATATAGTTAAATGGAAAAGGAATAGTACTTATAATTCCACCACAGATGAAGCAGTGGTGTATGTCCTCTTTTGCTTGTTGTTTTTGTCTTGCCAAAATTAAGTCAAACCAGACATGCTGCTTGGTGCCCCCAGTTCTCTCAAGTCTGTTGTGAGCATTGTTCCACACCAACACATTTGTCTAATGCACCATTTTAATTGAAATTTAAGTTCAAAAAACTATCTTTTATATTTAAAAGTTTAGATTGAAAAATGTAAGATGTAATGTATACTGTCATCTACACTGTAGTAAATAACGTTTCCATGGGTTTGTGGATGGTTTTATTGACACACTGCTTTGCCAGTTAATTTGGTGGCCCTGCCTTCATTTTGTTCTTTGGAGCCTGAGGATATTTCGGCTCAGTAGCAAGTGTTCAGGCTTTAGCATGTGACAGCTCAGACAGCTGCGCTATCTGTCCAGAGTTATCCACCCAGTACATGCACGGCTTCGGCATTCTCACTACACATGTCCAGTCAGACACTTCCTGGCCAATCTGGCTGTAAGTTCTGCATATTTATTGGAAGAACTGACTTTGCTGAAAAAGCAAAAGTAGTTGGTGAATTCAGTCAGGGTTGAACAATAAATATATAAATACCAGTTTCACAATATCATCTCATTTTCAAAAGGGGGATTGTAGGATTGTTTATAAACACAGACTGTTATCAGGTAGAATTTTGTCTGTACTGCTTTAGCAACTAATAGCTGTGTGCACAGTTCTGTATTGTGCTTTATTCATTTAGCATATATAATGAACATATTTCTTTGTAATGACTGTTTTTGAATGATTTAATGGTTGTACTAATATTCAATAATATGAGTTACTACAATTTATTTAACTATTCCTCCCATTTTGAGGCAGTTCAGTTGGAATTTTAAGAATGCCTATTTCCCTTTATCTTTGCTATCATATAGAATAGTTACATTAAGAAAACTTTGCCAAACAGAATCTGGAATGATATTTCATTTTAATTTTTTATTGCTTAAGAACAGTTTTCTTATGTAAGCTTAATATCTTTCTTAAAATCTTTTCCACATTGTTCATATACTTAGCAGATGCCCCTTTAAAAATAGCAAATTTACACTCATCTCATGCCTCAGTTACCAGGGATTAAAATTTGGTGGAATCCATATGTATCTTTTACAATATAAATAAACTTCAAAAACCTTTGGGACTTGGCCATTATTTTAATTTATATATAATTTTAGTTTTTCATGTGTTCAACAAATGATTACTTTGTATATGTGCTAGAAGCTGGTGTTTTTTTGTTTTGTTTTTTTTTGTTTTTTTTTAGGAATAAAGAACTATAGAGTTTAGTGGAGAGGCAAGTCATATAACCAGAACTGCATATGTGAATATATTGTATACAAGGCTTGAATGAGGAAATATGTAGAGAGTACCTAGCACTTGGCAGAGATGAAAGAATAAACACTATTTTCACTATTGATGCAACTGTTTTTAAGTACTTGAGTAGTGGTTCTTTTAGGGCATTTCTGGTCTAACAGTGGGAAAAATTCTAACAGAATCAGTCCAGATTGGCTCTCCATGAATTCCAGAAATTTCTTCTGCCTTTATGTTTAGTGTCTCCCCCTCTCCCTCCCTCCCTTCCTCTCTCTTCCTCTTTCCCTCCCTCCAGTTAAAATCTTCTTACACAAGATGTGATTATTAATATCAATTTGGTAAATTTTCTAGATTAACCTCAAGAGAATTAAAATAAATAATACCTTGATGCTTTCTTTTGTTATCAAATTTTGTCTAGAAGGTATCTCATTAGTTGGTTATGCTTAATTTGCATTATAAGAGGTAATAAGTAGCCCTGGCTGGCATAGCTCAGTGGATTGAGCGCGGGCGGCAAACCAAAGCATCGCAGGTTCGATTCCCAGTCAGGGCACATGCCTGGGTCGCAGGCCATGGTCCCCAGCAACCACACATTGATGTTTCTCTCTCTCTCTCTCTCTCTCTCTCTCTCTCTCTCTACCCCCCTCCCTTCCCTCTTTCTAAAAATAAATAAAGAAATAAATATGAAAAAAAATAAAAGAGGTAATAAGTAAACCACTTTCAAAGGAGGTATGATCTGGCAGTTTTGTCCCCTCTCAAACGGAGCTGTCAGTTGCTTCACTAACAGCACTCTCCTCCCCACTTGCCTCCTGACATCATCTGGGCTGTGATTCTGACCTCCCAAGTCCCTGTGAGAACACTCTTTATGACCTCATAGTCACACCAAATTTGATGTCATAAAGAGAATATCCCATGGGACCTCCACGTGACCACCATGTTGTAAAAACTAAGACCACAGACTGAAGGTGTGGAGTATGACTTTGTCTTTCCCTAAATCTGCATGCACACAAGCCAGTTTTAAACAATTTTGAACTGCAACCACACTGAAGTATATTATGGCCATGCAAGGCATGAGATCCAAATCCACAAAAGAGGGAAGTAGCTCGTTAAATGATGGGTTCGCTTTAAGTATGTTAAGTGAGGAGTCAAACCAGTCGTGGTGAAATGTGGTAACGCTGCTACACATTTTGTGGTGTTGATTTGTAATTAAGCTATATAAGTTGGCAAACCTGGAGGGCTATTTATAAACTTTTAAAGAGGTTTTTTCCTCCAGAGGTGATAAAAATGTAAGTAAGAATCTTTTGTTCAGATTGTAATCCACCTCCACCACCCCCACCCCAACCTACCCTCTCAACATGTACGCTATCTGCAGCTCTATTTTGGAAAGATTTTTTTTTTTTTCATTTCTACAAGCCTCATTCAGTTTTCAGAGTCCAGTGAACCCATCATTCTGACTCTTGCCTTTGACAGCAATTGTTAGAAGCCACATGCTGAATTCATGTGTCTGACAAGTAGTAAGTTTTGGCTATAAAGCCTCTTTATGATTTTCTCTTCAGTTTTTTTAATCTGCCTATCTTCTTGTTAGTTTCAGTCTTGATGTTTCAATTGCAAGATGAATGTATGTATTTTTCATTTCCACTGTCTGCTTTTCCAAGAAAGATTTTATGTTTTTATTTAAAGCATTGTAGTTTTTCCCATTTGTTGTTTCTTATGGAGCTTCTGTATGTTTTTTGGATGTTTATATGACTGTTATATCTTTGAACAATCTAACCATGCTTTGTATAAAATCATTGTTAGATGGCTCATCAGTTTTTCTTCTTGTAAATTGGCATTCTGATTGTAAATTTGCTCAGCTATTATTTTTGGCGTGTGTGTGTGTCTTTTGGAATTTTAGTATGCTGACTCATTTTAACAAGATTTTTTTTAATGTTTTTTTTCCTATTTTGCACTTGCCCACATCCGTCCCCTTGAGCCTCTTTTTAGAGTTCTTGTTCCTTGGTAATACGGGAATATTATAGATGCAGATGGTGGATCATAGATTCAGGATCCTCTCTCACTAGACTGGGCCTTCTTTCAGGGGTGGGAAACCCTCATGCCAGTGCTGGCTTCAGGCAGAGCCTCTCAGGCCCTTGCCCTGGGTGCAGAGCACTCAGGACCCACGTGCTTCCCAGGAGCTGAGCTCCCGTGGCCCCTGCCATCTTCAGACGGAGCCAACAAGCCCACGGCTTCAGCCCTGCTCATCTATTCATAGTTCTGCTCAACTTTTTGTCTCCAGAAATCTATTTATCAGACATGTATGTTTTTTCTTCTTTCTTTTCTATGTATTTTTTAAACAATGACAACAACAGTATGATTTCTGTATGATTTTGGAGGCAAGGGGGAACATAAAAGCATGAACTATATCATCTTGATTGACTGAAAGTAAAAATTTACTTTTTAAAAACAGTTACCCACATTTCCAAGATACCTATCTATATGCTCCTTGTAGTTGGAATCAGTTACAATTTTGAAATGATATAGTTAGTTACACTTTTTCTTTTTTGTTTAAATATTAAGATATGGATTATGCCTCTCTATGAACATATATTTATTTGTCAACAAATATTTATTGAGGGCACACTATGTGCCAGGCACTGTTCTAGGTGATAGGAATACGGTAAGTGAATAATAAAACAAAGTCCCTGTCGGGTGGAGTTTGTACTGTGTGAGGGAGAAATAGGTATCAGGCAAACAGAGGAATGCACACTGTTACAGGTACTACTAAGATGGCATAGAATCAGAGGCCTCCCAAGTCCCGGAAGTAAGCCAGCTGCAGAAAGAAGGAACTCAGAAACAAGCCCGGTACTCTGCTGTTTGTACAGAATGTGGTTCCATTGACCACTGAGCCTTCTTGATTTGACATGTATAGGAACCTCTCACAACTGATAAGGAAAATGGTCAAGAGGTGTTAACTATCATCAGATATTCTCAAGAGAAAATTAAATGTAAATTAAATATATGAAAAAGATGTTTAGCCCAGGTAGTAATTTGCAAGTAGCAACAGTGGGACCCTGTGGGATCCTTACTGATCACTCCATCAGTTTGACAGAGATTCCTGAAGCTAATGCTCACTTCTAACCACAGAGAGTTTCCCTGAACAGTTTGTTTTTCTTTTTTTTGTGGCAGTGGTTGTTTTTTAAATATGTAGTTTTGGGAAGAAAAAGGTTAGCAATGATATCTCTAATTCTTATATTTTTAATGATTTTATAATTTTCTACAATTATATTGATCTCATAATCAGCGAAACATACTGCATAGCCATGTAGATCCACTTTTGAAAGCACCACTAGCCTATCACATGACGCTCTCCTGTGGCATTGATGTGTAGGTGTTCCCTCTGGCCCACGTGTGCAACGACACAAACAGGATGACATTAATTAACCCCCAAGGAGTCAAGCTCAATATCTACAAGCAAAATGTGGAACAGGCAATTAAGTCCTATGAAAAGTGAGTATTACTCCGGGCTGCTCCCTCATGGCTGTGGCATTTGTTTTCGCTTGTTTTCTCTTTTGTTAGCTTAGTCTTTTTCATCTGGGGCAGCTGTCTAAAACTCATCTATAAGGAATGTCAAATGCAGCAGCCGCAGCAGCAAACGCCAGCATTTCCTGTGTGCCAGGCGTGCGTTAAGTACCTCACCTGAGTGTGTCCAGCATAGTTTTAAACTGTCTTCCCTTCTCTGAGCCTGTAGAAATCTCGAGTTAACACAGGATCTTTAAACCTTTCCCTTTAGAAGAGTGAATTTGGTCATTTTGACACTTAACATTCTGTATAATGACTAATAAAATCCCACAATAGCGAGATAATGGAGATAAATAAGTGTGTGCTATTATGTATACAGTTTTTTTAAATCCTCACCCTTCTTCCCTTCTGATTTTAGAAGGGAAGGGAGGCAGAGAGGGAGAAAAACATTGATTGGTTGTTTCTCTTACTCGACCTGACCAGGGACTGAACCCACAAACCAGGCATTTGCCCTGACCAGGAATCAAACCCACAACCTTTTGGCACATGGGACGATGCTCCAACCAATTGAGCCACACCAAAATTGAGCCACGCCAGGGCTACAAACCATTTTTATTTCAAGACCAAGAAGAAGATCAACTTGATTACAGTGAAAATTATACTTTGAAATGGTCCTGTTAGTGCTGAGATACGGGCCTTTTTTCAAAAAGGCTGCAGATCCAGTCTCACCCTGCCTAGCTCTCTAATCACCTCCCACCTCCACCCCAACACTTGATTAATCCTTGGTGCACAGCACTTCATTAACCTTGGAGTGAGCCTGGCTTCTCCAGGCAAGCCTATTCTTGGTTCTAGAGACTGTGTGATTGGGTTTTCATTTACCACCACAGAGGTGGAAAAAGTGAAATCAAGTTCATGAAAACTAACACTATGTCCCAGGCCAGCATATACTGTCAATTGTCATTGTGCAGTGTGTCTAGTGTGTGCTCAAAAGAAACAGGCTAATCAGAAGCACAGGCCAGTCAGAAGCTGCCTTCCCCACCACACCCAGCACAGGCCTCCAGATCTGAGGGTTTTTGAGTCTTTGTCTGTTCTTTGTATCTTTTGCAGGCAGTATGAACTATATTCAAGGCTTCCCCCTCCCTGTGGGCCTGCAACTTTGCTCTATTGTTAGCCCCTCACCTGGCTCTACCCCTTTTCTCTCTGCCTCTGCCTCTACTCCAGGCAAGCCTTTCTTTGCCTTTAAGCTCTGCTGTCCCCATCCTCCTGCCTCTCCTCTGGCCTCCACACCAGCAGCCCTCCTTGGTAAGGTCATTGCCCAGTGACACTCTACCACCCGCCCTGTGTGTGGTCCTCGGGCACTCATAGCACTCTCAGCTCTGGGTGGGCGTGTGGGCTCCCGAAGGCAGGGCTGGGGCAGCCTTGCTTTCCCCTCTGTCTCCTCTTCCTAACAGGTGTCATTATATACCTATATTTGACTACTGGAATTTAATTTGAATTTAATCTAGTTGAAGTTTAGTCATTAAAATTTTTCAAATTCAGTTATTTAGAATGTAATATAATATTATTCATATTATAATTTAATATGAATATTTGCTGGGTTCATTCAAATATTTGACTTCTCTAATCATCTGGTCTGTGAAAGCCGTGCCACAGAGGCCAGACAATTCTGGGCTTGACTCTTGGCTCTGACAGCCACTTGTCAAATCATGTGATAATTGTGAGCTTCAGATTCCTTATTTTCAACATCAATCTCACAGGGTGGTGGAAGCGTTATGTAAATTATATATAAGACCAATTAATGTTAATTACTTCCCCTCCTTTTATTCCCTGGATCTGCTGATTCTAAAAGAACCATAAAAAGGTGGAGGTTCATTGTCACACAGCTCTCCCCCAGGGTTTCTCGAAGACAGAGCCTCCTCTCTCCCAGGCCGGAGAGCCCTCATTCCTTAACAGAAAGACCAAAATACATAGTACGCTATTTGCCCACTTCTTCCTTCCAATGAGTGACTCTGGAAAAGCCTTTTAATTCTCTTAGAGAAATACTGTACTATATTGTTAGTATTAATAATAATATTAAATCTAACATGACTAACTCAATCAATAATTATTAATATTGATTGAATTAACATTAATTTAGTCTTAGTAATTTGATGCTTATATTAAATGAACTACTTACTTAATATTGTTTAATAATAAAAATAACAGTAATAGTAAATTGTAAATTAACATTGCTATTACATAGCACAAAACTTCCTGATTGTTTGTGTTCCATAATATTTAAGAATTTTGTTGGGGTGTCAATGTTTATCTTGTTCCACCTTCCTAAAGACATGCATATTAAAAAAGACATATTCAGAATGAAAAGTAATGAAACTTGCTTTACACCCACCCCACTCCCAGTATAAGATTTCTCAAGTGTTTCCCACCACAGGTAAGCCAGACATAACTTGTGTGGTTGGGGATGACCAGGCGGAAAGGACACGCTCATGGCCCTTTAGCCAATATGGTGACATAAACTAGCTTTTTGGTCATACTCAGTGTTTATATGTGGGAGTGTTTTTGTTTCAATATTTTAAGAATGGAGGCTATGATTTTGGCTTTGTGCATCTGAGTATAAGCTTTGAGTGAAGATTGCCAGGGCTGGCTGGATTCTGGTGTGATTTTTCTGCAGCTTATTTTATTGTGAGTCTAAGGTCAAGGTTGCAGCCCCCAGATCCACAAAAGAAGCACCAGTTCTAAGCTGGCTCTGAGACCATACTTAGTAACCTCTACTTACAAACTCCAAATTACTTGGCTGCTGCTTAGACTTCTGAGTGTCATTAGTGACAAGTTGCTTAGCAAATGAGCCAATTCTTGGTACAAGTAGTTTGTGAAGCAGAGACATAGAAAGCTAGTGAATGCTACCCCTCAAGCAAATTTCACTCTCCTAAAATAAAGAGGAAAACTGTGGGCAGCAACATCCCTGAGTAAGGGGCTGGAGCAGCCTGGAGAGGCCCTCTGTTCTGTGCCCGCGGGCAGCTCACGGCGACTGCCCTCCGCCCACACACTAGGGCTTCTCTCTGGCTCCTCCCAGCCCCTCCGGGTGGAGCTGAGGTCCACGCTCTTGGTTGCCCTCAGTTCACACCCACCCATTTGTCTGCCCTGTGTGCTCTAAAATATTTCAGCGAAGATGGAAAATGGGGGAATAACAGAGGTTATGAAAATGTGCTCTTGGAAACATTTTTTTCTAAAGGATTGAATTAAAATTAGACATGCTAAGTCTAAGTCTGACTGGACACACATTCATTACTGGTTTCTCAGCATCACAAAACTTGCCCCACTCCAGAACCTGGGACAATGAACACTGAGTTATTCCTGGCCACTTTTTACAGCAGTGGGCCAAAGTAAGCGCACTGTGCCATTGTGACATTATTTTGAGTTAATTAAGCCATTGTAATAATTATAACCTGCACGCCTTTTTCCATATGAACAACTGTAAGCCTACTTTTGCCAACCCCTCACTTAATTCTCTCAGCACCAGTGCGGGTGGTATGATCCTTATTTTATCAATAAGAAAATAGAGTCTCAAAAAGTCACATAACAAAATCACATGGCAGCAAGTGGGGACCCCAAGATCTGAACGCAGACCTGTATAGCTTTAAAGTCCCCATCCACACCCCCAGCCTCCCTCGCACATTGCCTCCACTGTCACAGTGAGATTTAAGATGATTTTTAATAAAGATTTTTTAACACAAACCCCAAATGCATCCATCCTATGGATCCTTTTATAGGTCTTCGAAGCCCTGATCACTATTACATGAACCACATGACTAAAGAAACCCAATTTTCAAATAGGCCCCAAAGAACGGAAAACTTAATCAAAACAGAGTGTGGAGCCGGCTTATTCCCTACTTCCTGACTCTGTCACACAGAGAGCATCTGTGTGTGTCAGACAGACACACACTAGACCATTGAGTCCTCACAGTAACACTAGGATGGGGACACTGTCATTGTCCCCACTCTGAGGAAAAGTTTTTGCCCAAAGTCTGGGAAGAGGAGAAGCTAACTGAGCTCTGGGTCCAGGTGGTCTGGCTCAGAGTCTGTGCCCCACCCTGTCAGACCCCCTTCTGTGGCCTCACCAAGCTCATGACAGGAGATTGGGCAGGATGACACCCCCAAAGTGTGTTCCCAGAGCCCCGTGCACTGACGCTGGGGCCGGTGGCTAGAAGAATGCCTCTTAGAGAGTGACAGTATTCTCCCAACCCATGTTATTGACGTAGACTTTTTTAACAGCAGCTAACAACCCCAGGAGCCAGCATTCTGGGCCCGGCTCTCCAGGAAGCCACATTTGGGTAATGATGTGGTGGTGCAGAACTGGGCTGGAACCTCTGAAAGAAGCACCACTGATTAGTAACAAGAGAAGGAGCTCTGTCCACCCTGTAGAAACCATCATTGCTCCAACTGCCTCCTTTCTTGGGTGAACAAGGATCTCTGCAAACATGTTCAGGGATGAGTTTTGGTCTCAGCATTGCCAACTAGCTGTGGTGGGCAAGCGAGACACTTCTCAGAGCCTTCATTTGGAAAACAAGGAAGACAGACTGCTTGATCTCCAACGTGCAGCCCAGGCCTGTTATGTGTGACCCTAGTAAACTCTTTTGCTTGGAGAATCCAGGAGACTGTAGCCAGAAGACTGCCTACAGAGGCAAGTTAAGGACACACTTATATTTTTACTTTGGAAGAAAAATAGTGGGTGTTCAGAAATATCTTCATGTAGAGATAATAAGGACCAGCTTGTTTGCTGCTGAGAACAGGACTTTCTGTCACTCTGCAGCACCATGGTCACAAAGCCACAAGGCTTCTGCAGTCACACCAAGGGAGGGAGCACTCATATCCAATCTCTGAGCCAATGGCAGTGGTGTAGACCAGTGCTGACAGCCACTGGCCTGGGCTGCCCTGCAGTGCCATACAGGACCTGGGTTCAGCCTTTTGCTGTGAAATGAAGTATTGGTGCCAAGTAATTATTTTTTTTATTTTTCTTAAACAGGCGATTGAATAAAATTGTTTGGCGAGCATTATCTCAAGAGGAAAAAGAAAAGTAAGCCAGTTCCTTACTTTTTAAAAAATTTTGGTGACATTCACATAACCTACAACTAATTTTTTTAAAGGAACAATTCAATAATATTTAAATGATTCAAAATGTTGTACAAAGCATCACCTCCCTCTAGTTTCGGGACTGTTTTATTGCCTCAGAAAAGCACCTTGTACCCATGAAGCAATCCTCCTCCGCCCCACCTCTGGTAACCACTAATCTTTCTTCCCTGTAAACTTGCCCATTCTAGGTATATCCTATGAAAGGAACCACACATCAGTGGCTCTTTGTGTCTGGTTTCTTTTACTTAGATCATATAAAAACAGTGTTTTCAAGGTTCATACAAGTTGTAGCATAGGTAGTACTTTTTTCCTTCTTTATGCCTGAATAATGACCCATTGTGTATCTCTACCCATTTGGTTACCCATTGATGGGTATTTACCTTGTTTCCACTTTGCGGCTATTATGAACAATGCTGCCATATGCATTCACGTGGCAGTTTCTGTATGGACATGTTTTCATTTCCCTTGAGTACACATCAGAGTGAGTGGTTTTGCTGGGTCATGGGTGAGTCTATGTTTAACTTTTTGGGGAACCACCCAATTGTTGGTCACAGCAACGGCGCCATTGTACATTTCCTCCAACAATGTTATTGCACAGTCCTTGCCAACACTTATTTCCCTTTTTTAAACTAGAGCCATCCTAATGGTGTGAAGTGATGCCTCATTGCAGTTTTCATTTGCATTTCCTTAATTATTGATAATGTTGAACATCTTTCATGTGCTTCTGGGTCATGTGTGTATATTCAGAGAAAAAACTGTTCAAGTTCTTCACTCATTTTTAAATTGAACTGTTCATCCTTTTGTTGTTGACTTGTAAAAGTTCTGGATGTTCAGCCTTTATCAGGTATATAATTTGTCAATATTTTCTCCCATTCTATACATTGTCTTTTCACATTCTTTTTTTTTAAGATTTTATTTATTTATTTTTAGAGGTGGGGGGGAGAGAGAGAGAGAGAGAGAGAGAGAGTGAGAGAGAAACATCAATGTGTGGTTGCTGGGGGTCATGGCCTGCAACCCAGGCATGTGCCCTGACTGGGAATCAAACCTGCGACACTTTGATTCACAGCCCGAGCTCAATCCACTGAGCTACACCAGCCAGGGCATCTTTTCACATTCTTGATAATTTCCCTTTTATGCCCAGTTTTTAACTTTTATGAAGTCAGTTTACCTACTTTTCTTTTCTTGCTCATACTTTTGATGTCACATCTAAGAAATCACTCCATTGCCAAATTCAGGGCACGCAGGTTTACCCTGTAAATCTCTTCTAATACTTTTCCAGTTTTAGCTCTTAAATTTAGGTCACTGATCAATTCTAAGTGAATTTGTACATGTGGAGTGAGGTTATTTCTATCTGCAAATAGAGATAGTTTTACTTCCCCTTTCCAGCTGGATGCCCTTTGTTCCCTTCCCTTGCCAAATTAGTCTGGATAGGACTTCCGGTGCAGCGTTGCAAGGCAGTGGTGAGGGGGGCACCTTGTCTTACGGCTGATCAGCCTGTCACCACTGAGCAGGATGTTGGTTGTGGTTTTTTCATAAATACCCTTTATCATATTAAGGAAGTGCCCTTCTATTACTAGTTTGCTAATTGTTTTTATCATGAAAGGTTGTTGGCTTTTATCAAATGCTTTTTCTGCTTCTATTGAAATGATCATGTGGGGTTTTCTTCCCTTTGTTCTGTTGATGTGTTGTGGTCTGTTAACTCAATTGATTTTCTCCAGTTGAACTGCCTTGCATGCCTGAGCTAAATCCTACTTGGTCATGGTGTATAATCCTTTTAATGTTCTGTTGGACATAGTTTGTTACTATTATGTTCAGGCTGTTTACCCCTATATTCATCAAAGAAAATGGTCTAGTAGCTTCCTTTTCTTTAGTATCTTTGTCTGGTGTCGGCACTGAGATAATACTGGTCATTTTTATTCCTTTCACTGTTTCTTTGGCTGTCTTTCTGTTTCTTTGTATGCCTTAGCATCTTTAGTTGAGTTTAGTTGAGCATTTGAAAAAAAGACACCTCTACCAGTCATTATATGTTGTTTTCTTACAGAGAAAGACCTTCATCAATCATGCAGGCTAGAGATGCTGGGATCCTTCTAACTCTTTTCTGGGGCTTTGTCTCCTGTAGGCCTGTGCCTATTCCCAAATGGGTTTGCCAGTTTCTTTTCAGGAGCCTATAATCTCTTACTCTCCCTGGTGTTCATTTTTGGTACTGCAGTATCTCTGATGGTACAACAAGCCCTGGAACTGGGCTTTGTTCTCAGTGGCCCCTAACCTGGTATGCAAAGTGTGTAGCCCTTCCCATTAGCACTCTGAATCAGATGAGACAGAAACCATTGTCTCTGGCAGACCCTCCAAAAGCCAGAATGTTGGCTGCATATTCTCTTTTCTCTTGCCCTCTCAAGGAAGAAGTTGGGATTTAGGAGTTTTTCTTAATTGAGCAGCATTGTGCTGGGGAAGGGAGTAGCTATGCCAGGCCAAATGTAATAAACTTTCCTACCCACTTCAGTGCCCACTCTTCTCTGGTTTGTGGAGTGCTTCAAGCGCTTAAGTGGTTTCTGGAATTCTCACAAAGGCTATTTGGTCCCTATATTCTTGTTAAGTTGCTATCTCTGTGGGGAAATGAAGGCCTGGGGTTTCTTATTCCACCATCTTGCTGACATCACTCCAATTTAGATTTTTAATAAGAATTTTTAGCCCTGGCTGGCATAGCTCAGTGGATTGAGCGTGGGCTGCAAACCAAAGTATCGCAGGTTAGATTCCCAGTCAGGGCACATGCCTGGGTTGCAGGCCACAGCCCCCAGCAACCGCACATTGATGTTTCTCTCTCTCTCTTTCTCCCTCCCTTCCCTCTCTAAAAATAAATAAATAAAATATTTTTTAAAAAGATTTAAAAAACGGTAAGAATGCTCCTGTGGATTGTAACCTTTAAAAAAAAGAAGAAAAATAATAATTTTTGCTGTTGCCTGGAGACAAGTTTGTTTGTGGACTGAGTGCCATGGTTGTGCTGGGTTTACACTGTATTCCTCCAACACCCTATAGCTAACAGAAGTGACAATTTTAGCACTAAGAGAATGGTGGTTATAAAATGAGTTATCTCTCCCTACTCCACCCCCTTCCCTCCTCTCCAAGCGTCTGACTCCATAGCAGCTGGGACTGAGAAAAGAATCCAGGACCTGGGCCATCACACCACACTGGCTTCCCCTGGAGTCTCTCAGGCCATTCCTCAGCTCATAGAAAGCTCAGCTCCTGTCCTTCATGCACCCAAACAACAAAGCCAGAAAGTTTAGGCCTATTTAGGATTCGAAGGAGAAGAGGGGATCGAAATAGCTCAAATGAGTTGGTGGAAGAATTACTGCACCAAGGCAAATATTTATGTTTAGTTTAGCTTTGCTTTCCTCTGTTTTCCAGAATCACTGCTGAAGGATAGTTGTGTGGGATCTCTTTGAAACACATTTTTTGATCTGTCAAATGTTAGACTTGGAGAGAAAGAAATGGGCTCTAAATGTGCCAAAAAGAAATTGTTTTTTTTTTTTCTTAAAAAGACGTGTGTATCAAACTTCTTTAAAATCAGATGATCAAATTAGGTAATGGGGAAAAGTGCCTACCGTAATTACAGAGGTGGTAATTTTTAACTTGTGCTGAAGTTCTGATGGGCCAGGGAGCGTGGCTGTGATTCTGGTAACTGGCATCTGACACCTGCTTTCACAGATGCTTCTCAGGGCAGGGCTGACAAAAAACTATCTTTCTACATTTTTTTCTATTATGGTCTTTTCTTTCTTCTTTTGTTTCTTCTTCTTTTCTTTTTTAGGCTAGATGCAAACAAACCAATTCGGTACTTGGAAAACAAGGCAGCTTTAAATGAGGCACTGGAACGGTTGAACTGGCCCATTTCATTGAAAGAGCTGTCGCTGCTGGAAAATGAAATCCTCGCTGGGAAAATGTACGTCCAGCAGGCTATGGAGCTCCAGGAAGCTGCCAGGAAGGAGAATTATGTGAGCAGGGCACTAGCAGAGGTGAGTGCCTTGGATAGGTCTGTTTCCTTCCTCCCTCCTGTCCAGAGTCTCTGCTGTCCCTGTGCAGGTTTCCCTCTCTCTCTCCCACCCCCACCACACCGATTACTAAAAGAGTGAGCACCAACCCTGTTAGAGTCCTAGGACTTCTTTCAACAGGAAGGAAATGCCATCTGATTTTACTATGGTTTTATTTGTTTTAAAACAATACATCTTTTAACTGCAAAATAAAACTAAACAGAAGTAAGATGTCATGATTAAAAGCCTGGACTTTGATATAAGGCAGGGCAAGGCCCAGTCTCAGGTCTGCCACCTAATCCCTTCATGGTCTTAGTCTGTTATATTCTCTAAACTTTAGTATTTTTACTTGTAAAGTAAGAGTAATAATAGTATCTGCTTCATAGGGTTGTTAGGAGGGTAAAATGAGCATTTAAAGAACTTAGTATTGAAAGCCCCCTGTAAGGATTACCAACTATTATTATTAATGAAATAAACCTTACCAAAAGAAAAAAATAACTTATTGTATGATTGCTTTATTTTTTTATTACAACTTTAGATCATTTACTTCTAATTTTCTTTTTTACACCTTGAATATGTTTTATACATAGATCAGTCAAATTATCCATAATAATTTCATATTCTGCTTTTTACTTTACTATTATCTCATATACTTTCTCTGCATTTTTACTAAATCATCACGTTGGCATTTTTTGTGGTTATATAACATTTCATGGTATGTGTATATACCCTGATGTATTTGACTAGTCAGTGAGTGTTGGCAATTGGCTTATTTTCTAGTTTTCTTCCCTTTCACATCATGTGTCAGTGACTGCTATGTTCCAAATAGTTGGGCTATTTTGTCAGGATAAATTCTTAAGAGTGGGGCTCTTAGATCAAAGGGCATGAACATTTGGGGGCTCTAAATGCTTGTTGCCAGTATAACACCCCCTTTCTGACTCTGGTTGAGTATGAGTAGACCTGGAATAGTTCATCCAGAATCTTACTGAATTCCGTTTAATTTTCACCACATAGCAGTCCAAAAAATATGCCCAAAGAACTGACCTTTGAGATTCATCATATTTGGTTTTGGTCTTTGCTAAGTGATACTGGTTTTGCTTGGTTTTAAATGCTGTATGACTGCTCTAGAGTCCTGTGTCTGTTTTTATTTAATTTTATTTTTCCCCTTTGAATGGCATTTTTTTCACTTCAGTGTAGAAAGCTATTTCTTTTGTTCAGAATGCAAGCTTTTTACCATATATTTGTTTTTATTTATTTTGTTTTACTTAACTGTATATATATTATAAGTATATATTTGTATTCATAGTTTGTTTGTTTTATTGACTTCCTGAAAGAGTTGTCTAGTGTTTCCTTGGGAGGTACCATCTGACGCCTCCCATGTGCGGCTGTCTGTCCGCCTGCCTCTCCCAACCACGTCCTGTGGGCACCCAAGAATCAGGAAGACCGAAAGTGGATTGACTGCTTGTCCCTGAAAATGTACTCTTTTTTTGTTGTGTCTCTTCCTCTGTTTGTCCTTTCATTTATTCACTGAAATATTTATTAGTCCCTATGAGGTGCCAAACACTATTCAGGTACTAGAAGTATTAGGTTGTTCAAAAATCTGTTACATTTTTTTTCTGTAAAATAAAAGACACATTTTTCATTTTCACCAGTAACTTTATTGATTTGGATATATTGAACATGTCAGTATCTCCTGCTATTTGCTTCTAGTGGGTAGAGGCCAAGGATTCTGCTAAACATCTTTCGATGCATCAGACAGCCCCACAGCAAAGAATTATTTGGCCGAGAGGTCAGTAGTACCAAGAAACTTCACAAACTACTTTTGACACATTCAATCAGTAGCAGCACCTTCTCCATATACTGCACAAGTCGTTTTTGCATTTCAGCTGAGTTTTAACGTTTCTCAAAATAGTAAAGTATAATGCACTGAAAATGTTGCTTATTTTCTTCTATCTTCAGTATTAAAATGGCTGCACAAAAACTCACCAATTTTGATAAGTTTTTTTAAATACATGCTGATATGACAGCTGTCACAATACAATCTAACAAAATTATTTCAAATAAAGTTAAAGACAACCAAGCAGTACTAGAGATATTGTACAGAAATTTTTTTTAAAAAGTGTAACAGACTTCTTGGCCAACCCAATACCTAATACATGGACCAAGTCTCATCTTTACTCTAACTGCAAGACAGACCAGCCAGGCCCTAAATGATGGACTTTTCCTCTATTAAAAGGTGGAGGCACCACTGCCCCACAGCGGCACTTGTTAGCTTTATTCTTTATCTGTACCTTGTATTAAATTTAAAAATGGGAACTGTTGCTAATAGAGTGAAAAGCAGCATCTTCTGATTCAGAACAAGAACCGTATTATACTGAATTTATCTGGAATTATGAGAATCAAAAACTCATTGATTATGGCATATGCTTTCATTGTTCTACTTCTTTATTTCCCTTATCCACAGCGTGGGAATATAATTTCCATAATTTCTTCATCCAAAAATATTTGTTCTCTCCCTAACATAGATTGTGCTTGGCACAATTGGTCTCAGGCAGTGGATAACTTGTCTTGTTCGTCTCTGTCTCTCTCCTTGGGCCTGCCAAGGGTCACTGCACATTGGCAGCAGAACAGGGGCTGGTTAACTGCGCTGAGGACACGGGCCCAGCCTCTTGGAAGAGCATATTGGAATAGAATGTGAACTCCAGGAGAGCTGAGACCTTGTCTGGCCTTATTTGTAGCTGTATTCATAGCACTGAGAATGGTGTCTGGCACACAGTTAGCATGCACAAATATTTATTGAATGAATGAAACTCAGATCCTCACATAAGAGTATCGTAAATATGACAACAGAGGCACACCTGTAGAACAACTGGCAAGTGGAAAAAAGTGACCACTTCTGGTAGGGAAGCTGGCAAAAGCTTCATGGAGGGGATGGTAACATAAGGGTTGGGGTGTGAGAGATGTTCTGAGTGAAGGAAATAGTCTGTGAAAAGGCAGGAAGGTGGGGGTAACATGGCGCATTCACCAGGGACGTGGCAGGAGACAAGGCAGGGAAGGGAAGATGGCGCTAGAATGTGAGGAACTTGGAATTCTCTCCCAGGACCAGGGACTCTTACAGGTGGGAAATGAATGCCCAGAGAGGGATTTCAGCAAATGGAAGACGTTAACAAATTTGTGTCTTAGAAGAATTATTCTGACAGCAAGACGAGGCCAATGCAGAGGGGAAAAACCACAGCCAGGAGCAGCACTCCGTTGAGAGGTGCCGAGTCCTTGGGCGGAGCTGGAACAGTGCGGAGGGAGTGGGGAGCGGAGACTCGAACTGGTGGCAAGTGCATGTGTGGGGTGAGCCGGGTCAAAGTTGAGGATGCCCACAGATTTCTGTGTCAAACAACTGGGGAGGCAGAAGCACTGTCAACCACCTCCACACCACCTCTGCTTCTCGGGGACACAGGTAGTCCCTGGACAGCCTATCTACACACCCTGCCATTCTCTAACCCCTGAGCACATTTATGTTTCCTTCAAAGCACATTTAACTACTGGACATTCTGTATATGTTTGTGCACAATCTGTCTCCCCTAGTAGAAGGGTGGGACTTTGTCCACTGTGTTTTAGGTACTCCTATGCCATGGCACCTGATAGGCACTCATAAGTATTTGAATTAATAAATGAAAAAATGGATAAGAGGAAGAAGTGTAATTAGTGGAAAAATATATTTTCAGGGAAAGGTAAATACCTTTAGGTCCTCTTGATTCTTACATGGCTGTGAGGCATCCAGGCGAGAAAGACCTGCAGACAGCACGTGCTGGAGCAGAGGAGAGCAATCTAAGTTAAGGAGGTACACCTGGAGGTCGTTTGTGGCGTTGAGAGAGGAAGAGAGTGGACAGTGAGGCATGGGAGCAGGGAAGTTGCAAGAGCAGCTGGCCTGGGAGGCGAGCTGTGATGCAAGAGCCAAGATGAACGCAGGCTTCAGTGCTGCCACTTTCTGGCTGTGTGACCTCAGCCAGGCCCTCTAAGCCTAGTTCCCTTGTCTTTAAAAAAGAAAAGCCCACAAAATGGTTGTGAGACAATGCCTGTGATATGCTTAGGACAGTGTGCTGCACTAAACGCACAGTGTATGCACTCAGCCTGTATTACCCACTGTCACTCTTCCCATCAGTGAGGTGGTTTCTGAGGAGTCTTGAAAATCACACAGAATGATGTCTGAAAGCCATTTTGTTTGTCAAGAGGGAGATGACTAGTGGTCTTAGCCAGAATAATTTCATGGAAGTGTGGGAGCAGAAAGCAGTTTACAGTGGGTGAAGGTGTGGGTAGAAGTCAAGAAGTACATATAGGAAGTGAAGATTTTTGTTTCAAGATCTTCGCAGGGAAGAAAACCAGAGAGATGGTGAGAACTTGAGCATGAACCAGAGTGAGAGAAGGAATTTCATTTGTGTAATGGTATCGATGGGTCTGCTCTGCCCTCTTATTGGTCAGGGGCTGAGGCTCTCCCTTTACTGCCTTGTGCCCACATGGGGTGCCCAGCGCCCCCACTGTCTGTTCAGGGGAGTGTCCACGCACCCAGGACAATTGTCTGCGGGTGATGAATGGGGGGAGTACTCTGCACCTTGTCTTCAGAGCTTTTTCCATACTTTGCAAGGCCCTCAGCCCTGGAAGAGGTTGCTCATTATTTTCTTAAAATGATACTTCTCCTTACCATGTGTGATGTATTCTGAGATATTTGATTCTGTTTTGTCATGCTCATGGATCGATTTCATGGCCCACTAATGGGTCTCAACCAGCGTGGGAACACCGCTCCAGCCCGCAAGGCCCTGTGAGGTCCTGGGGGGAGTGTGAGTGCCAGGCGCACATCACCTGCACTGGCGTGCACACAAGCAGAGGCTCATGCTAAGTCCTTTTAGCGAAGGCCAAGGGTTTGGTTAATGATTATAGACTGAAGAGAATGAAACTTTTTGTCACTCATTAAGACCCCCTAGATTTATTGATTC